AGTAGTAATTCTTGAAGGTGGACACCAGCTTGAAGGGGACGTGGGGCATTAGTGAGCAGGTCACCTGCCCGTTAGCACCTGAGTCACGGTCAGACACGGTGATCAGCGCAATGACCGTGCTGACTGGAGCGTCCTCTTTCACAGGCAGGAAAAGGGAGGTTATGGCCATCTCTGGGGTATTATCATTCACATCCAGGAGTTTCACTACTACTTTACAGTGTCCTGTTAATGGGAATGCACTTTTATCCATGGCATCAATATTAATTTCATATGAGTTACAGACTTCATAATCCAGTTCCCCCTTAACTTTTATTTCACCAGTATTAGAATTAATTATAAATTTGGACTTTACATCGTCAAGAACAAAATTACTAAAGAAATACCCTATGTCTTTATTGATGCCCTCATCTGCATCTGAGGCATTCAGTTTAATAACTAATGTCCCACTCGGTGCATTTTCCAACAATCTGACATTATAAATGGATTTATCAAATTCTGGGGCGTTATCATTAGCATCCAATACATTGATCAACAACTGAACTGTACCTGTTAGTTCGGGTTGTCCTCCATCAGTTGCGATCACTAATAAACGATGTTCTTGTGTTTCTTCTCTATCTAAGGATTTCCTCAAAACTAGCTCTAAAAAGTGCGTTTCTTCTTCATTTGTTTTAACATCTAAGTCAAAATATTCGTTAGGATTTAACCTGTATCTCAATTGTGCGTTTGCTCCGATATCCAAATCCGACGCGCCCTCTACCGGAAACCGCGAATCTGGCATTCTTGACTCTAAAATGAATAATCTTTGTTCTTGTCTGGAGAACCTGGGCGGATTGTCATTAATGTCCTTCACTGCCACCTCCACATGGAAAACCTGCAGCGGCCTGTCCACGATCACCTCCAGGTGGATGCTGCACTCCGCGCTCCGCCGGCACAGCTCCTCGCGGTCGATCCGAGAATTCACAAACAAAATGCCATTCCGCAGATTTACCTCCAGAAGGTCCCTGCGGCCCTTGGACGCCACCCGGAACAGGCGCGGCACCAGCTCTGCCAGCTCCAGCCCCAGGTCCTGCGCGATGCGGCCAACGAAGGTTCCGTGTTTGGCTTCCTCCGGGATCGAGTAGTGGAGCTGGCCGCTCCCTGCCTTCCAGTAGACGAGGAGAAGCCACAGCAGCAGGAGCCGGGATCCCGGACTTTCTCTCCGGGAATATACCATCTCAATCTCCTTCCGATTATCAGCTCTCTATTGCATCACCACACAATGTATTTTGTACATTCAATTCCCAATTAGCTATATATTTTTATATTATCACCTTTTTGAGCTTCTTGGCAGAGCCAAAAATGGAAGGTTCTTTTCCTTTCTGTCTAAGGAAAATGTACTCACTGTACTCCTTTGAGGTTGGGAAGGGAGAAAAACCTTGCGGTGTCCAGCGACATCATGCGGATGAAAGGGTAAGTGTTTTACTTTGTTTTGCTTTCTTTAGCTTATATTCGTCAATATTTCTCAAGTATTCTCACTTTCAATGACATGATTCTTATCATTTTTTAAATCACTTATCTCTAGTCAAAATATATCATTAAACTGTGTCTTCAAATGCGTCAATATAAGTGCATCATTAAAATATTTACAGAAACATGCATCTAAAGTCATGGAAACCCAATCCTTACTAGAGAAGTTTGTACTGGTGTATTTTATATAGGCAGGAGTTTATGTATTTCCAAACTGATAAAAATAACTTTTAAGAGTTAAAGTTTTGACTTTTCTCATCTCTATTTAAACATATCTAATTAAAATTTTTGAGTTTTTCTGTATTAATCAATGCAATGTTTGTATGCTATCTCCGTGGTACTCATAAACCAAATTTTTATTCCAATTTCAGTGTTTAATAGTGACATTCTGTTTATGTTATTTTCAAAAACAACTAAAACTATTTTAATGGCATTCTCACCTGAGTTTCTTCTTGGAGGTCTAATTTTCAAATCGATGAAAACCTATTTCTTTATCTATAACACCTATCTACTTTTTATATTATCCCAAAAACTGTAATGGGGATATTTCAACTTTCTAGAAATCAAAAGCATAATAGAACAACTTTGGTAAACGTCTTTGCACTATTTTCAAATTAGTAGCATCTAGATAGCATTTCTTCAAGTTGCTATTACTGATAAAGCAATTATTAAAAATTGTAAAATACATAGCTTTGCACTTACATAACAAGTCAAAATCCTAACATTTTCTATACGACATACTATTTCACAAAATGTTTAGGTTCCAGTAAATATAATCATGTTGAAAAGAATATCATTTTATTAACCAGGCTACCTTTATGTTAGTTTAATGACTTTTTAATCTCCCAAATCTTTACTGGATGGTATCATTTGAACACGACCTAGAAAATATAGTAAACACTTAATAAATACGGGCAAAAGAAAATGTCGCCAAGTTTTCTATTGAAGAAATAGCTAACATTCTGCTTGTACATGTACTCCTTAAAATCCCTTAAATATTACAAAATATCCCTTACCTGTGAAGACAAGAGGGACCACGAGATCAGCAATTCTATTGTTGGATACTTTTACGTTTAAAATATAGCTTGATAAGAAAAACGAAATTACCAGAAAATGCAAAGTCAGTGGAAATTCACTTGATTTCTGGAATTCAAACTTGTAAAGAAATAAGATATTGTCACAGAACTGTTTCTGATACAATCTTTAAAGATGTATTTACCATTTCCCTTATAAGATTCTTACTATATTATCATGACTTTGCAGTAATACTTGGATCATTGAAACACAAATCAATTTCCAAGACTATTTGCCTAATAGTTGTCATACTGATAATTGTAAAATATTTTAATACGCAATGGTTAAAAACATAAGAAAATGATAATAAATGTTTAGAAAATAGCATTAGCTGACGTTAGCCACTTTCTACTATATAACAGTAAATAATGTAAAACTACAAGGCTATGGAATAAATTACAGTAGAATTTTATACAGAATACACAAATATAACCTTTGAAAAAAGTAAATATTAAGTATTTAAAAGGCAAATTAACAGTGTAGTATTAACAATGTGTACATTGTAATCTGCACAGTATTATAGTAAATACTGAGTATTTTAAAAGATACACTCAATGGAGAAAAAGTAATCAACAATATCAGTTCACATGCTCTTCTCAGTCTGGAAAAAAATATCTCATGTACTTATATAGATATTTCAGGAGAAAACAAGACTCTTGACTTTGGATTCATTTTCATATCTGTTAAACTATATTTAATTATATTTACTTTTCGAATTATCACTCGCATATGTGCTACAGTGATCAACTCTTATCTTGAATATTCCTTTCTCAATAACTATAGATTATCTAATCTCAACTTCATAGGAGACTTCATAGAAAATACTTTTTTTCCTATGGAAAAGAAAGTAGCTGGGACTACAGGCGCCCGCCCCCACACCCGGCTCCGTAGCCCAGGCTGGAGTGCAGCGGCGCGATATCCGCTCACTGCAAGCTCCCCAGCCTCCCGGGTTCACGCCATTCTCCTGCCTCAGCCTCCGGGATAGCTGGGATTACAGGCGCCCGCCCCTACACCCGGCTAATTTTTGTAGTTTTAGTAGAGGCGGGGTTTCACCGTGTTAACCAGGATGGTCTCAATCTCCTGACCTTGTGATCCGCCCGCCTCGGTCTCCCAAAGTGCTGGGAATACAGGCCTGAGCCACTGCGCCCAGCCAGGAAAAGAACATTTTAAAAAATCTTCTTCTAAGCCATTTTTTTCAATCAAATATTACAGATTATTTTCTTGACTGATCCAGTTAAAGGAGAGGTTTCTCCTTTAGATATTTCAGTCATGTTTAAGCACCATTGTGTAAACAGAACTTCTTCCTTGAGAAAAAAATTTAGATTTAAAACTGTGTAGTATTTAAAGTGTCTCCAATTAATTCACTAAAAGGCATTAGAAATACACTAACACAAGAAAATTTAATCTTCATAAGGGTACAAATGTCCTTTATTCCTTACAAAACCCAGAATAAAATTTTAATAAGCTGTTATTTTTCTTCTGTTATCTATAGAAATTATATAGATATACCAGATTGCAAAGAAGAGGAAATGTTGAAGCAATTGTATAAAAATGTATAAATAATTTATGCACATATGTCATTTGATCCTTCAAAAATTCTGTATAAAAGTTCATTTATTCTATTATAAGGATAGTAAGAAAGGATACCATGTGCATATAATACACATCTTAGCACTGCCTGTATAATGATTCACAGAGGAAGGTACAACTGCCCTATAAGGGAGTGTGCTAAAATACCCATATTATATATCCTCTTTGGATAGAAAATATGAGAATAGTTCTAGCATATCCCTGAGATAGTGAAAAATTAAATTAATCATTTTTATGCAACTATATTGCATTCATTAATGTCAGATTATCTCACTTAGTGGAAAGGGACAATGAAGCTAAATTTAGGAGCTGTAATCTCAGGCATCTTTTTTATGGCTCTACCTATAGTTGTTTCTATACAACTGGGTGACAAAGAGTCTCACTCTGACCCAGGCTGGAGTGCAGTGGTACAGTCAAGGTTCACTGTAGCCTCAGGCTCAAGCCTCCAACTTCAGCCTCCCAAGTAGCTGGGACCACAGGTGTGCACCACCACATCTAGCTAATTTTTTTTTTTTTATTTTTTGTAAAGATAGAGTCTCCCTATATTGTTCAGGCTTATCTTGAACTCCTGGGCTCAAGCAATCCTCCTGTCATGGCCCACAAAAGTGTTGAGATTACAGGCAGGAGCCACCATGCCTGGCCTGATTCATTATCAAATGGAGAAAAATGATAATCTCTCAGGTTATATCTAATTTTAAAATCCAAGATCAAGTGAGGGAAAACTTGGTGAGAGGAAAGTTTCTTTTAACATTAGCCAGTACCCAAGTTAGAAATCTATTTTTTAAAAGGAAAATTAAATTCTAAAACTGAAAAATGCCATGATTGAAATTAAGAATTCAATCGTTGATTTTGACAGTGGCCTAGAATAACAAGATAAAATTCCTGAAGTAAAAGATGGGTAAGAATAAAATATAGATTATGAAACAAAGAGAAAAAGTGATTTAAAAATAGAAATGGCATATAAAAGACAAGGGATATGATGAAAAGATTTAACATACATATACTTATAGTCACAGAAGAATATAAGAGAAAATATGAAGTAGAAGCAGTATTTGAAGGCATACTGCTATATCTTCTCTTAAACTGATAAAATATTATCAACCCACAGATATAAGAAGCTTTCAAAACTGCAAGTGAGATTAAAAACAAAGCAAATTAATACTGGGCACATGATAATAAAGCTGCTAACAGTGAAAAACAGAGTAAGTATACAAAGTAGCTAGAGAGAAAAAAAGACACACTAATTGAACAATAAACTTGACAGCCATCACTTCAAAAGAAGACCATGGAATGTCATCTTAAAAGTGCTGGCAAAAAATAACTTTCATTCAATACCCAAAACTGTTTCTCAAAAGTGATAGTAAAATTAAGACATTTCCAGATATATAAAAACTTAAAGGTTGCTTTACTAGCAGGCCACACTAAAGGAAATGTTAACGTCTTCAGAAGGAAAACGATCCCAGAAAGAAACACAAATAGGTGCTAACAAAACAATGATAATAATGTACTGTGTGTCTAGAATACATAATTAATTGAAAGGCATATCAGTAACAAAAATTAGGGTACAAGTAAATGGTATAATGATTCAAGGTCTTAGCATTGCCTGGAAGTAGTAAAAGTATTGATTTAATTGAGGTAATAAGTCAAGGATGTGTGTTAATAAAAGAGGAAGTAAAAGAGGAAATCAATAAAATAATTTGTAAAAGCGTATATAACTTAAAAAGATAACAGAGGTAGTGACATCAGCAAGATGCTGTTATAGGAATCCCCAGACCCTCCACAGATATAACTCAACAACAATACAAGGACCAACTCAACAACAATTAACTCAACAACAATTAACTCAACAACTCAACAACTAACTCAACAACAATACAAGGACCAATTCCCGTGGTGATAAGTGCAGAAACCAGTTAAGAGGATCCTGGGTTCCAAGCAAGTGTAAAACTAGCTGGGCACTTTTCTGGGGCACTTTTCCTATAGTTCCATCCAGCAGCACCATCCCATTCAAACAGGGGGAAACTTCCAGCTCCTGGCTTCTCCCTGAGAAGGGAAAGAGAAAGTAAAGTACGCATTCAATGTTCTGACTTTTCAGGGGGGCTGTCTTGCATATCTCAGAGCACTGATGGAGCCTGGCATATTCTAAATTCCTGAGGGCAGCTGAGAATAATAAAGAGCTGGGTGGTGGGCTGATGTTCCTCAGGACCTATGACACAGCACACAGAGCACAACTCAGCTCAG